TTCGGAATCATTATAAAAATGTACTACTGTTAACCATGACTAATTCTAATGCAAACTTTGCAACACTGGGTGAAATTCATTCAGAATCATTATAAAAATGTACTACTGTTAACCATGACTAATTCTAATGCAAACTTTGCAACACTGGGTGAAATTCATTCAGAATCATTATAAAAATGGAAGCTTGAGATGACTGATTAGTTCCAGTTCAAAATTATTCTTACAAAAATGGTGTACCTGAGAGGTAGATCTATAGAGATTATGGTAGCATCTTCTGCAAGAGATTCCTTTTATGTTCAATTCATTTATTTATTTTATTTACAGTCAAAGGTTAAAACAGTTTAGAGCAATAGACCACTTATATGAGCATCTCTTTTTCTGGGTATTTGTAGATATTTCTAAGTATTTCTAGGTATTTGTAGTAAGGTATGCCATATTAAGTCAAGCCTGATCCTCTTTCAGGACAGATTAACATTTTTTAGATGATAACAGCAGGCTCCATTCTGTTCCTGTGCCTCAACAAAGCTCTGGTCTTACTCAGATGCTCTTGCATGTTAGTAAGGATGGTATCTCAATAACTGCAACAAGAGAAAAAAATGTTTGTATAAAATGTTGCAAGAGAGCAAATATTTTACAGTCGATAGGCCCATCCTCAACTCATAGTGATCCCTGTGGCCAGCCTACTTTTGACAGCATGTGGAACGATTAAGAGATTTTAAGAGCTGAGAGTCGTCTTAGTTTTATCATATGTGTTACTTCATTGTTCAGATTCTAATCCTACTGAGACTTTTTTTTCCTTAGCTCCATTAGCTAGCTTTTATGGAAAAGAACACCAAAGTAATCCCATATGTTCCACCTGACAACCCGACAATTACCTGTATTACGTGAGGAAGAGGAATTGTCATTCCTAATGAATATCTCTTTCTTGTTCACAAAAGACCCTCAGTGTCTCAATTTTGTTGTGTACATTCTTCACAAAAAGGATAATTGTTTTCTATGTCATCCCACAGCTTGCTAAAACAACAAACTTAGATTTTAAAGAAGCTCAAAAACTCACACCAATTTCTATGAAGTTCAGCATGCTTCATCTACTCATTAGTTCCAACTTCCCTTTAGAAAGACCCCATTCTGCTGAAAAATAAGTTAATAAGTATTTATATTTTTTTACCCTTGCTAGATTATGGGTAAGAATACTTTCTGGATTTTTTTTGTATCACAATGAACTACCTCTGGAACAATCTGGACCAGATCAGGCCGTTTCTGTAGCTTCACATTGTGTCCACCACCTTGAATGAGTAATTTCTGCACATTCCTAGCAACGCAGAAAACATTTTTATTTATCAAACTAGAAAATATAGTTTCTAATATGAGTGTTTGTTAGAAAGTAATAACAATATAGAACTTGTAATTTTTTCTAGATCTTCAGACATGAAATAGCTGAGCTATTAAACGCAATTTTGGGAGCTGTTGTGGAATATTGGATTCTTTCAGGGTTCATAATGGACAGGAATATGTTGCATTCTGTAGCTGATGACCTTGCTTCTTATATTGCCATTTCGTGTGATGGTAAGGCTTAATAATTATTAAGTAAGAATTAAACAGTACAGCCTTTGTATCCACTAAGGACTTGTTTAACGGTATGAGTATATGCAGTAGAGCCTTCATCTACAATTAGTCCTCTGCGACTGTTCTTTTCTAGAGGTTTTTTTTCCCCTCAGAATCCATTGATTGGCTTTGTTAAATTACCCACATCATGTCACTTGATTTTGTGGAACATTAGGCACTAATTCTTCATCATTTATACTATAATTTAAGGTACTGATTACAGGTAGTCCTCACTTAATAACCACAATTGGGACCAGCAACTCCATCGCTAAGTGACGCAGTCATTAACTGAGACATCACATGACCACAACAGATGTATGACCACTTCCGCCACAGTTGTTAAGCGAATCGTCTGTGGTTGTTAAGCGAGACATCATGTGACCGCAACTTGCGATTTTACTGCCGGCTTTTCCATTGACTCTGCTTGTCAGAAGGCGGCTGTGAAGTGTGCAAATGGCAATCTCGTGACCGCGGGAAGCTGTGACGGTTGTAAACACCCACTGGTTGCAAAGCACCTGAATGGTGATCACACGACTGTGGGAATGCTGCGATGGCCGTCAATGTGGAGACCAGTTGTAAAGTTACTTTTTCAGCACCATCGTAACTTCAAACGGTCACTAAACAGGGCAGTCTTTAAGCAAGGACTATTTGTATGCATAGAAAAGGCTAAATTGGCTAGTGGTCATGGTAAACTGAACCCTCCCTTATCAAATGTTGTTTTCTTCACAACAGTCCAGAAGTGGTATCCTGACGGGTTCTTTAGGGATGTATTTTCAGTTTTTCCATCTAGTTTACAGTCCTGTAATTCCTGGTGGTGTCTCATCCACATACTAATTAGGACTAATCCTACTTTTCTTTTTCAGTACTAGCCAAGTCAGCTAGGTGCTGTCACCAGCTACGACAGTGGGCAGCACTCAAAAAATAAGTGAAGGTTTGTTTAATACATGAGATAAATTATATAACTTATATGAGCTAACTAAAAGATTAATCATGAGTCATTCTAAGACATTCTGTAGTGCCTTAATATCACAAAGTGGCCAAGAGGACAAAACCCACATATGTTATTAATATTAACCAAAGGACAGCAAACTATGCAGAAGTAAAATGTAGTTTGGCAGTGTGTGATTTATACATGCTGGTGGAACGTATACCCACCTCTTTTTTCATCCTAGTATGCAGTTTGGTTGGTTGGTTGGTGCCTTCAAGTCAGTGTTGACTCCTGGCGATTACCTGGATGAGTT